GGGGAAGGAAGGAAGGAAGGAAGGAAGGGGAGGGGAGGAGGAGGAGGGAAATAACATCTCCACTCACTCTTCAAAGCGTCTCTCAGTCAATCTCTCTCTCTCTCTCTCTTTCTCAGTCTCTCTCTCTTTTTCTTTTTTCTTTCTCTCTCTCTCACAAACACACACATACACACACACATACACACACACACACACACACACTCACACATACACACACACACCAGGGCGCGCGGATTGCTCAATTGGTCTCTCTCTCACTCCGTCTGTCTCAATCACTCTCTATTTATCAATCTACCTATCCATCCATCTATCAATGTGCTCCCCCTTTTTTCCTTCCACACTCACACATCGTCTCCTCCTCCGCTACTCTTGACTCGTCCAACTCACAAGGTAAGTATTCTAACAGTACACGACGTATGCCAGCCGTGACATTTAGCGCCAGTTGAAAAACCCGCGACAAGTCACACAGTGAGTACAGGCACGTGCGACCACAGCGGGACTTGGGGAGGCGAGGAAGACCTAACGCTCAAGAACGAAGAAGACGCTTGGAAGACCAAGAAAGACGAAGAGAAGAAGACACGACCTTTGGAAGACAAGAAGTCAAGAAAGACGAAGAGTAGAGGACGGCACAGCTTTGGAAGACGAAGTCAAGAAAGACGAAGAGAAGAAGACACGGCCTTTGGAGGACCAGAGAGACCTAAACAACGAAAAAGGCACAGTCTTTGGAGGACCAGAAGGACTTCAAGAAGGAATAAGACAAGAAAGACTTCAAGAAGGAAGAAGTAGAGAGACAGTATTTAGAAGACAAGAAAGACTTAGAAAGGAAAGAAGTAGAAGAGACAGTCTTTAGAAGACAAGATAGACTTAAAGAAGGAAGAAGACGCGGTCTTTGGAAGACAAGAAAGACTTCAAGAAGGAAGAGAACAGTCTTTAGAAGACAAGAAAGACTTAAAGAGGGAAGAAGACAGTCTTTAGAAGACAAGAAAGACTTACAGAACGAAGAAAACGCCACTCTTAGAAGGAAGAAGACACAGCCTTCGGGAAACCAGAAACACCTAAAGAACGAGGAAAACGCAAGTCTTTGGAAGACGAGAAAAACGTAAAGAAGGAAGAAGACAGTCTTTAAAAGACAAGAAAGACTGAAAAGAACGAGCAAGACGGCGGGCTGGCAGACAGGTGAGTCCAATGCTGACCCCTATGACCTTCCCACTGTGGGCGGAGTGTGCTCAACACGAGAGCATCAGGGATTCTGGGTCAGCGGGTGCGATGAAAAAATGTTTAAAGTTAAAGTTCCTGCTTCTGTACTGTGAGGGGTGGGTTTAAACAGGATCTTGCTCAGGGTTTTTTTTTTTTTTTTTGCCTTTTTTTGTTCTGTTTTTCCCCCTTGGGTGCGGGGTTGATAAAAACATGACGTGGCTTGACGTCAGAGACGAAAACCATGCCACGGAACAAAAAGTTCTGCTGTCCAATTCTTGGAAGAGAGGCCACCAAAATGTTTGGTATCTTGTGACTAAGAAACGGACAGACAGACAGAGAGACAGAGAGACAGAGAGACAGAGAGACAGAGAGACAGACAGACAGACAGAGAGACAGACAGACAGACAGACAGACAGACAGACAGACAGACAGACAGACAGACAGACGGAGTAACAGTAAATGGAGGATGGAGAGAGAGAGGCAAGGACGAGTGAGAAAATTCAACTTGTCAGCGTCGCTCCAATAGCCAAAAGCACTTTTTATAAATGGTTCCCGTAAACACAATAAATGAATATACAGACACTAACAGCAAACATGTACAATCTGATCTACTGAGGTAAGTGTTACAGTTATTTCTGCTGCACATGAAACAAGAAGGTTTACCTCGTCTACTCACACAGATGCCGTTGCTCTTCATCTCTCGGGCAGTTGTTAGTAAGGACTGGGGTTAGCTAGCAAACCTGGCGACTCCGCGACATGCAGGCGGGGCTAGGCGGAGGGGGGAAGAAGAGGCGTGGCACACGTCAACACACGTCACACACGGCAGGATGGCCGCCAGTCCCGAGGACTTGAGTCACTCACCCGAGCCGCGCTTGGAGAGCAGGGGGGCGGGGCATGGCACGGGGGCGGAGCCGGGACACGACAGTCCATTCTTCCGCGGCTTGTGCGGCCACCAGGGGCGTGTGGCGCGAGCCA